ACTTTCTGTTGGCACCACAAAATTTTGCAAGTATTTTCACATTTACTCCTTTTGAAAAATTTTATTTTTAATTGATGAATCGTAATTGTATTATTTATGATATACAGTGTAATGTTTTGATAGCTGTAGGCACTATAGAAAAATGAAATCAAGCTAATTAACAGATCTAGCACTCCGTATATTTATCTTTTTATGTAGTGAAAATATTTAAAATTTACTCTTAATAATAATCTTTTTTTTTTTTTTTTTTTTGTCCTTTTGAGACAGGATCTTGCTATGTGGTTTAGGCTGGCCTTGAGCTCACTTTGTAGCCCAGGCTGGTCTCAAAACTTGCAACGATCCTCCTACCTCAGCCTCCTGAGTGTTGGGATTACAAGATTGTATCTGGCTTTAATAATAATCTTAAAACATACATTATTTTTGTAGTCATCATTATATGCGATAGATCACTAAGGTTTAGTTCTCCTACCTGACTGAAATTCTGTGCCTTTTGATCAAAATCTCTTCCTTCACTATTGTTATGGATTGAGAACTGGTGGTCAACTTAACGCCAGCTGGATTACATCAGCATGCATTGAGCAAACATGCTCCACCTGAGGAGGGTTGCCAGGATAAATAGGTGGAGAAGAAGGGAGATGTGAAGGGTTGAGGCATTAAGGAGGCATTGTGGGTTCTCCTACGAGTTGCTGTCTGAGCTGTTGGTTCTCCTGGAGAAGTCTTGGTCCTCATATCGAGCATAGTTTCCTGGCTCCGGAGGGGAAGACATATGCTGCTTGGTCTCCAGGATGAGCTTGTCACGCTGCTTCCTGGCACGTACCCAACTGTGCTTGTCGTCAGAGGAGCTTGGGGCCTCCGTGTTGCTGAGGATAGCTGTGGTGCCTTTGTTGTGAGTGTGACTTCTCGGCTCCAGTGTAGAACCCTCATCCCACCAGCACAGCTCCTTCATCCTGCTGGCATAGACTTTCTAGCTTCCACTGCTGACCCTTGGGTCTTCTCGGCACGAATCCATAAAAAAGACTGGCGTGAGTCCTTCTTGTGGGCTCTGGGCATCCAGTTGGACTCGTGGGAGGCACTGTCCTGAGCTCTGGGTTTTTATCTGGACTCATGTGGGATATGTGCTGTGGAGTATAGCCTCTTGACTAAATAATCTATGTGTTTGGTGTTGTGGATAGATTTCCTGCATTTTCCTGTGTTAACTTCCGGAGACCATTATAAAAATATTATAAACTCCATGTGCTAATCCTAATTGTTCTCTGTGTACAACCCCTGACTACAACAACTATCTATTCCTCTGCCTCCGTCTTTGGTAACTACCTTTCTTATTTTTGAGTTCACATGTAAATACAATCATTCAGTATTTGCCTTTCTATGCCTAACATATTTCACTTAACCTAATGTCTTCTAGGTTCATCTACTGGTGAAATTTCCATCTTTTTAAGGTTATATAGTATTTTGTTCGATATACCACACTATCTCTCTACTAATGACTTGGGGTATAGTCTGGAAAGATGTTGAGTAAGTGAGGCTATCTGGAGAAATAGCAAATAAGACATTTGAGGGAATATTCCTGTATTATTTCTTGCTTACAGGAGCTTGCAGGGCTAGAGCAAGGCTCCTCAAAAGACCGCACATCCTCTGAATCAGATTTAATGCAGGACATAGCAATTTACAAGTTTGGCCTACAATGGCCACCTACAGAGTCAAATGTAGAAGAGCACAAAAGATCTGCTCATTTGCTAGAGATCCAAAGCCATGGCCTGGAACCCAGGGTAACATCCCATAAGAGTTGGTATTAGGAGGCCAAAGGATCCCCAACAAAAGACTGAGGAGCCTGCACTGGGAAGTTGAAGGATCAGCCCTAGAAGCTGAAGAGTCTGTGCCAACATGCTGGAAGGCTGGTACCAGGAGCTGAAGAATCTGCGCCAAAGAAACCAGATGATGCCCAAGGCAAAGACCGGAGTTCCTCCAAAGAAAACAACTGATGTTCCTCTGAGGAAAATTAGCCTTAATAAAGTTCTTTCAAGAAAAATCAGCTGAAATCCTCTCTCCTTTTATACCATTCCAACAACAGTTCTCCTTAGAGTGGGTCTTCCACACCCAGAACTATATTGACTTGATTTAGTTTGCATACTCGACTCAAACTGGCAGTTAGTTAATTCCCACAATAACCTTACTGTCCACCCAGCTCCAATGATGTCTACTGATGGTTGATCATGAACTTTTTCTTAAGACCCTTTGTCCAAGGGCACACTTAGTAGAGATGAAGATGAATCTGAAAGATCCTATGAGGGTTACTGAAGCCAGACTTAAGAGAACAAGCTCCTTCTACCCCCCACCTCCCCTGCACCTGCAACTTATTGTTCTGGTACAGATAAGATTGGCAGCTATGTCTGTAAACAGAGTTTGTGTCATCTCAGGATTCAAAGGACTCTGTCTTCTTTCAAGGCTAAATTATCAATTGCTTTGTCTTGTTTCTGTACCCTTGACTGCCTCTCCCCCAATTTCAGTTTCTAAAGATCAGCTGCTTCAGCCCAATGTGCAAAACAAGAACCTCTCTTTTGTCCTAATGGTCAGCACTTTGGCCATGGATTCAGCGGGGTCCACGTGCATCTAAAATCCTGGAAATGACTCCTCCTTTTTCCCTGTTGGTCCTTCTGATCTCTTGGATTCTGTAACTTTATGAGATGGGTCAGAGGCTCTGCTCTGATGGAGGAGGTTTCCTCCTCGCCTTTGTCTTTCACTGAATGGTGCAGCAGAAAAGCAGAACATGGTACACTAGCCTCTGAGCATAGCTTTCCTACCTGGATTCTCTTCACATATGACACCGTGTCCCTATGATTTCATGTGGGAAGATGGCTTTCCTGTTGATGCTCTTATGTCTGTGATTAAGGTCCTCTTACAGACACCAGCCCTCTCCTGTGAGCCTGCACATTCACAGACTGCAGGGGAGGAGAATAAGAAGTCAGCAAGAAGCTTAGACCTCCTGTGAGTCAGTGCCCCAAGTGGGTTGACTGGGGGAGAGCCAGATGCCAGTCCCTTCTGGCATATGGGCAAGGAGACAAGAAGAGCCAAAATCCCTCCCTTCCCCCCTCCCCACAAACAACCAGCTGATCTGGAGAAACACAGGCTTTGATGATAGCTAATGAAATAAAATACAACTTAATGCTTGTAGTGTTTAGTGTTTCATTGACTTTGAAGGCCTAAAAGCAATGATCTGATCATGTATTCAGAGGATAACAATACACAATATAGCATATATGAGGGAATCTCCTTCTGAAGGTGGTGGCCTTTGTTAATTCCCTATTATTTTGTTTCAAAATCCTGTATCATTCTGATTGATTTTCTTTGTTGGTTTTTATTCTGTTTTATCTTGTTTGATTTTATTATATCCAGTGGCATGAGCAGCTATTTCAAAGATACCAAGATATATTATTGTAGCCATTTTGAATTTACTATTATTTTATAGCCCTTTATTGCATTCATTGTTTTGTTTTTACTAGTTCTATTATGTTCTGTTTTGTTTGCTTTTTACTATGTCTGAAGGTATTTGAAGCTATTTTGAAGACAACAAGAGGCATTATGGTAATCACTGTTGATTTCCTATGATCTGGTTTTGAAATCCTGTGCCACTTACACTGTTTTGATTGGTTTTATTCTGTTTTATTTCACTTGGTTTTATTCTCTACAATAAGTTTTTTAAAGTTAAAAAAGAAAGCCCTCATGCTTTAGCTATAATATCACTTTCTGAATAAAGGGTAGGGGGGACAGGATGTAGAGCCCCCCTCCACTCACAGGAGGCTCTGCAAAATGTTCCTGCAGGATATTGAACTACCTCTAATATTTTGACACTTTTTGAAATATGAGCAGTGGTGGCTACATGGATCAACTATGGGAAAATTCCTGGAGCCTCGATCCCTGAAAAGGAGCAGATGGGGTGAATGGAAGCATTGCCTAGGAAAAACAGGCTTGTCAAGCTGAAAGTGCCTCCCAGATTTCAGGACCCAGGACTCACGCACTACACTCCTGGACTTTTCTGAGAACTTCTTTTGTGCCTCTCACCAAATCCTGGTGGTCAGTAGGGTCCCCAATCCTATGTTCCTCAGTTCCCCACCGACCTCAATGCCTGAGCTTCATGAATGGAGTCCGGTTTCCTCATCACACAGAAGAAGAGTCAACTATTGTGCTACAGAGCACTCATCTTGACTTATATGTGCATATCTTAAATTATGTAAAATTGTATTGCATTTCAGCCATTATTTGATGTAGGCCCTCATTTATACCAATTTATTGTATCCTAACTAATAACACACAGGTTAAGCAGAACAACCCTCATATTTTGTGATCCATGAACATACAGCTCAAAAGAGACTCTTACTCCTTGCCTGACTTCATGACAGCCTTCTTGGTACAGAAGTACACTGGGTTTTTGATTCATCTCTTTAACAAATTTCTTCCATGACATTGGGCAAGTCCTTTCCCTGCATGACTCACTGAATTTTTTTTACTTCTTATGTGCAGGACTCACTGTTATATACTATAACATAATTCAGATAAGAATTCAGGCCACTAGGAATAAATACAACAAAGATACGCCAAATCTCCGTAGTGAAAAATTATTTCAAATATTTGAAGACATAGATAATCATATAAGGCTGCTGATGTAGCTCAGTGAGCACAAGCCCAGCAGGCTGAAGGCCCTGGCTTCCATCCTCAGCACTGAAAGAAAGAAAAAAAGCTCTATAGAGATGAGAGATAAAATAAGGTCAAGATTAGAGGCAGGGAGGATGAGTGGATTTAGAAACACCATGTAGCTCTGTAATGGGCATGGATGGGAGAGGCTTGGATTTCTGCCAGGTCCTCCTGGACTGGAATACACAGAGAAAGACCAGTGCCTGCCTGCCTCCTCTGCAGCTCTTAAGAGTCTCTCTCTTCTCTTCAAAACTGTGCCTGGTTAGCCCAGCTGCCTTTGGCCAGGCTTTACCCACCCGTCTTATGGTGCCATGACAACTGTGCTGTTTCTCCAGTTCCTGCTAGTGCTCAGCCTAGGACCACAGCTTGTGCCTGGGAGTCCCAGACAGCGCCTACCGAGTATGTGCTGGGTCTGGGAGGAAAGCAGATTCTGGGGGGAATGGAGAATGAGGGGTGGAGTATACAGTGCAGAATGCATTGTGAAAAAATACAGTGTCATGTTCCAGAATCCAAGCCAGACCTAGGTTTGAATCTCTGCTCTGTTTGCTCACTGTGTGACCCTGGGCAAGGGTCTGAGCCTCAGATTTTATCTTCATGATGGATGTAATACTAATAAGATAGTTTGAAGGAGAATCTGAAGTCATGTATGTAGACAGAGAGCACCCTTCTAGAGGATGACTAACTTTTTTTTTTTTTTTTACTACGAATCGAACTTAGGACCTTGTACTTCCAGGCAGTTGCTGGGGCACTGAGCTCACCCCTGGCTGTAGTGAATGCTAAGTAAGTTACTACAAATGATGCCAGCTGTATGCCCTAGCTTATGCATGCTGTCCTTGGTTCCTTCACAGATACTCGATCCACTTTTCAAACATTAAAAGACACAGAAAACTTCAGTAGGATTCAATCTGCAATCTCCATAAACTTGAACTTAGAGGATATTTTCAGAGGAGAGGAAAAGGAATTCTTATACTGGATTTCAACTTTTAAGTATGCGTATGTACTAGAATTATCAATGGTTAGCATCCAATGGGGAAGTGTAGAGTCCACCTCAGCAGCCATCATGCTCCCGCTCAGCATTACAAAGCAGTCATGCAGACTCTGACCAATAACAAAAGGGAAAAAATTACTATTCCTGGTGTATGCATTCCTCTGAGGGGAGAGCATCTGGAGAATATTTGGGGCACAGAAGACAGATGGGTCTAATAGCTTGTGCTTCTTAGGCAACTCATTCTACTTTAGGTACATGAGGCAGGCAGCCTGCTACACATGACTGAGAGGGGCTAAGTGAGCTGCAAGACAACAGGAGTGCCCAGGGCAGAGTTACTAGGAAAATCAAGACTAGGCTTGGAGAAGAGGCACAGAGAAGTTTCTGAAAGTTCAGCAACAGCTGTGTGTGTGACTGGACCAGACACCAAGAAACAAATTGAAACTGGAGAAGCACGACCTCTCTGAGAACCCTAGCTTGGGGCCTCAAATCCCACACTGCCCCACTGAACACCAAGCTCCTCAAGCAGAGGAATGGTTCCCATGTCGTGCCTTCCCCACTGACTTCTGGAATGGTTGAGAGGTCAAGTGAGTGTTGGTTACTGGTCTCTAACAAATGTCAAGAGCTTGGATCTTGGCTTCCTGCACCTCATGTTTAGTGATGTTTGCTGCTATAATAATAGCTGAAACCTCACTCTTCATTCCTTTCAAATCTTGGTGATATCCTACAGATCTCTCTCCTACCTATAAACATCTACAGGAAAATAAACCCAGAAATGGGCAACAGAGCTTTATTTGTGACTTTGGCCCCAAAGAAAGGACAAGTGATGAATACAACACTTAGACTGGTAGGGGTTGAAGAAGGGATTAACAGACCAATGCTTGTAGCATAAGAACTCAGGAAAAGGGAGGAGACTGGGTTGGGTCCCTCAGGAAGTGGATCTTAGCTTTGAACTGGAATACGTGGGGGTATCAACATGATGACAATTCTTTTTCTCTAACAGTAGAAAGTAGGGGCACGCAGGGCTCTGGGCTCCTGATCAGGAGGCACCAGGGGAAAAGTAAAAGTCGATTCTGTATATCATTCTCAATTCCCACGCTTGTCACCATGAAGGAGATCGCCTCTAGAACTCACCTGTAAGTTGGAGCTTACCTATCTGACCCAGCACTCTCTCAGTTTTCTGTGAGGGCTTCATCCTTTAACAAAACCTACCTTGCAGCTGTTCTTGCTGCACAGTCTGAGTTAGACTGAGCATAGGATAAACTATGCTGCTCATGAGAAAGTGTACAGCTTGCTACAGACCACACAGTGAGTCAGCGCAGAATGCAAATACACAGCATTCATACACTTAGAAAAAACTCAAGCAAGTCTATGGGGACTTGACATCTGACCTGCAAAGAAAATGGATGAACATTGGATTTATGGTCCTGCCAAATGCACTCTTTTGATCAAATAACCAAGGACTGGTTCACTGCTCAGAACTCAGAAGAAACAACAGTTAAGGGCAAAATTTGATTTCCCTCTCCAAGGACCACCCAAGAAAGTTGAGGGTGGCAGGCTCCCTCTGATTTCCGAGCTTTGACTGTCATTCTGGTCTCTTGTTTACACTCTTCTCTTACCTGTTCTGTGTTCCAGAGTACATCTTGGAACCTCCATCCTGCAGATCTGAACCTGAGAGCTGCTACCAATTATGCACATTGCAGGAACATTGTCCAGAAGGACTCGAGTGCTGTTCTGCCTTCTGTGGAATAGTCTGTTCATTAAACAAATCTCCAAAACACAAAAAGTAAGCAATTTCTAATGCCAGTCCTGACTCTAGAGACGCTGGTCAGATTCAGAACTCTCTTGTTTTTTTTTTTTTGTTTTTTTTTTTGTTTGTTTTTTTTTTTTTTTTTTTTATTTAAGAGGAAAAAGAGAAAAACACAAAACAAAACAAAGCGGTGTAAGGGTACACGTAATACAGAACTACAAAAAAAAAAAAACATAACAGTAAGAAATCACCTGTTAGTAGATTACATACTATCATCTTGAAAATAGTTGCTCAAATCACAGTATCAAAGAATACAAGGTGGACATTCAAACAGGGAGACTGCAAACAGCTGTGTTCAATGATCCAAAAACATTGATATAGTCAGCTATTTAACACCCCTAAACACTTTTTTGGAGGGGGAGAGAATACAGTCAAATATGGCAAAACAAAGCTGTCAGTCAATACCAAGGATAGACATAGCACATGGTGTAGAACAGAGTACAAGGTTATCAACAATGGTTATCAACGTTGTCCCTTGTCTTGTTACTCACTATGATTGTTCTTTTTTCTTTTACTTTTTATTTCTTTTGGTTTTTTATTGGCTTTTATTTTAAAGAGAAAAAAACAAAGCACAGAATCTCTAAAACAAGGTAATAAGAAATTAACAATGGTTAATATATTGCACATTGTTATCTTCAAAGTAGTTGCTCAGATCACAAGATAAATGCACGCATAATTGATCGAACAATATAAGCACAAACCTCTCTTTACAATGAGCTAAAAGAAATCAGTGGTGTGATTATCTTGGCTATCTTTTGTATACATACAAATTTTACCTTCCTTTTTGTGGGTTATTATGATTTGATCTTTATAATTATTATTCTTATCATATTGCTAAAATTTTCCATCTTTTCACCCAGGATAATTCCCACAAAAGTCCTGAATAGAGGAGTTTTCCTCCAACCTTAGACTACACAATCCTTCCCTTCCCATGACCACCTGAGTGAATCACTGACTTCACCTCTCTGGACACACTTAGTTCAAACTCATAGCCCAGTTGACTCAGTCATCCAAATACTGGGACTAGAGTGTCCACTACCATCCCTGGCTTAGTACTCTGAAGTTCTGCACTTCCTATAGCAGAACTCAGTTTGGCGGTCTATTCTCAATGGGAAAAGTCATTGAAATAAGTTATATCTCCAAGAATAAAACTGCACAAAGTAACACTGGAAAATATCTTTCTTCTGCAGAAAAATGTCCAAGAACCACAGGAAACAGAATGCCTGAAGACCAACGCCTGTTCCTCAGAGCACTTGTAAGTACAGAGCTTGCCTCATTTGCCTGGTGTCAGATTTCTCAAGGATGTTCCTTTTCCTATTCTAACCTCTATAGGGGACAAACATCCTCACAAACCACAATAGCCTTTTCAATGACCAGCTTGCCTCCTGATTTTATCCATTACTCTCCTGGTTCTATCATATATTCCCTGCAGCAGGGTGAAGTCCAGGTTAAAGTCTGAAACTCAGAACACCATAAAGAAGCAGCATCATTGCCAGGGGGAGCACTCAGATCTGAGACAAGGAACAGGCTCTTCCAGCCTCAGGGTTGACAATGTCCTAGGCAGGCAATCAAACTGAGCCCTTCGTGCTCTGCATGCTGTTCCTGTATGACATAGTCAGCCCTCTCATGGGAAAAATCAAGGGAACACCTTGCCTCAGTGTATTATGAGGGTAATACAAGGCCACACGGTTGGAAGGACTTGGTCACAGTAAAGACTTAGCAGCTGCCAGTAACACACATAATGATATCACTGAGTACTAAGTATTCCTTCCTTTAAAAAAGAAAGAGGATCATCTTTTCCACTTGACCAGTGTTACACGAATGGTGAACAAAATGGAGTCCCCTGTAGGTCTCAGCATAAGAAACGTGGTATTTATAACTCGGTGGCTTCTGCTTCAGTGATTAGGAACAATGGGAATTTAGGATCTTCTACTTGTGTATCTGATGGCAGCATTTGAACTCAGAGTTCTTCTACTGGCTTTGGGCAAACAGCATGATAAATGCAGATGGAGGCCAGCGCTACGGGGTCAGTGCTGACCCACCACTTTTGCCCCTGCGTGGGCCCTGATGAGCCTATCGTGTTACTTCCCAGGGAACCTTGGATATAACTGACAACCCTGCCAAATACTGGCCATCCAGTAGTGTGTCACCACTGTTAGATAATCCAGGGCTCCTGCAGCAAAAGACACAGATACCACAGTAAACTTGTATAGTTCCAAGAGAAGGATTAACTACAGGGACAGACTCAGCTTTACTTTGAGTGCAGTGTCAGGTTTACTGATTATCCATTGGAAGGCCAACTCCTGTGTGTGGCCAAAAAGGACAGTACTTCATTTTGGGTGGGCACAAAAACACTGTCGTTTACCTGAGGTGTCTGCTAAGAGAACAGGTGCCCCTGCTCCTGCAATCTTCTGGTAAGCTTCAGCAAGACTGCACCCTTTCATCTAGGACATTAATGGTCATATCTGGTAGATCCTCATGTCCCCAGATCTGTTCTTCCTGAGGCCACAGCCCATCTTCTGCATACTGGCTCCCCTGGACTCACCAGTGCATGGCTAGAAGACTTCGATGAGGGAGAAGATAAAAGTGCTGGAGACGACCTGGGAAATGCTGAATGTTTAGTCCCAGAAATCACAGCATTGAGCTCTCCCAGGCCTCCTGGAAGGGAGGAATGGAGGCCTTTCAGTCTTCCACCACACCCCGGGCTCTATGGAGTGTAGTCATGGGCTTCCATTTTTTCTGTGTGAGCAATCATTGTGGGCTATGTCACACTCCATCTCACTTAGTCCTCACAGCAATCATAATACCCAGTGCACAGAGAGGGACATAGAGTTGAAAGAACATGCTCAGTCTCAGCTTGCTGGTGGAGTCAGAGTCAAAACCCGAGGCTTGAGATGCCTGGAAATCGTTTTTCTTCCCGAGGAATCTCTACTTGGGCAGCTCAGCTCCCTTCTGCTGAGTGGCTTTTTGGCCTTTCCTGTTTCCACTGAACTTTGCCATGGATGCTTTCGTCCTGCTTACGACTTCATTCCCTTTCATACTTTGAAACTTCCCCACCAAACTTGGTCCCTTTCCAAAGCCCCTGTGCTCTGTGCCCTGAACTCAGACCCCGCTCTTCTCTCTGCCTTCAGTGTCTTTCCCCGAATTTCCTGATGGGCTCCTACTCATGCTTCGCATGTTGTATTACATTACAAACTTGGAAACTTCAACTCACTCCAGACAAAATTAAAAACTCTATCTTTCTTCAAATTCACTGTATTGCAATCATTTTATTATTTTCTCTCTCTGGATTATGAGTCCCTTAAAAGCAATAACTATATCTGATTTCTTTGTCATAAAAATCTAGCCTTACATGAGCAAGCCTATAATTTAGCCTTTTCAAACAGAGGTGACAACAGCTTTTCAAAGAGTAGATTCATCCTAAAACTTGATGAGTTGTGCTTACAAACAACATCTTCACTGAACAGACCAGAGTCCCTCAGGTATCAGTTGCCTACTTCACTTTTCCTACGTGCAACTGGATTCATTTTATAAATTATTTATAAGCTTGGCATAGAGACACACACTTCTAACTCCAGCACTTTATTGGGTATAGCAGGAGGATAAGTTTTGACTTTAAGACCATCCTGGACTACATAGTGAGTTCAAGGTAATCCTGGACTAATTAATGAAAACCCGTCTCAGAAACACACACAGAATTAAAATATATTGATTTTTAACTAATTTATATTTGCTTGTGGAAACTTCCAATACACAGGAGGTAAAGAAGCTTAATGGTATCTATCCACACGGGATATTGGCACATAGTAAGGGCTAAGGGTCCTGGCTGTTCTAAGGCTCAGTCTGGCTCTACCCTGCAGGTTATCCCTTAATCCTCCCAGCCATGCCCTGAAGATGACATGTGATGACACACGGCAAGTAAAATACAAGATTGGAGAAGAGTCTAAGGAAAACGTTGTGATTATCACTCATGTTTTGCTAGTTGCTTCTTCATTCAAAATTCCTGTTTTATAAAGTGATAACAGTTTACGTTCCGCTATAACCTCTGCTTCGTTGGTTGGTTTTTAATTTCTCTAGGTTCCGTGTAAAGTAATTCAAATTAATGAAGACGAGTGCAGTTTTGCTGAACTTCAAAATATCTTAAGAGATAACAAGTCATGGTTATGAAAAGTACTGGATGTTTGAAAGATAATGGGATTAACCCTCCCAGTGAAAGATCATCTAATTTGTCAGAGACCTCAAGTCCTCTACTAAGCCTTTGGTGACTGCAAAAGACTTTGCCTCTCAAAATTATGTGATCATTTAGTCCCCTAATTATGCTTTTCTTCCAATTGCATCCTTTATAATGAACTTTTCCCAAGATAAATTTTTCACAAGTCCATTCTTATTCATCTCTTCTGTGATACCCTTCTAATCTGCCTGACTTCCTGATTATTTATGATCCAACAGGAAAGACTGTTCAGAAAAATCTGCAGGTTCCTTTACCACCAAAATCTGACCAAATATGGTTCAAATGGACCTGTGTGAGGCAAGTCTCTCACATACAGTTTTGCTTATTAAAAATGAGACGTTGTTTTAAAAACCCAAGCTTCATTCACTCAATATTGTAGGTACTTGTCACAAAATGCTACTTAAATGTAAATTTATATTAATTATAAGAAAATAAAAGGTTTAATGAGCTTCTCAGTCTCACTAGTCATTTCAACTAATCAACGACCAAACACACCTAGTAGCTTCTAGTGTGTTACACATCACAAATACAGAAAATTTTTATTGCAGAAAGTTCTACTGGAAAGTATTGCTCTAAGCTATATAAAACTCATGTCTACTTATTGACATATCATTAAACACCATGGTGATGAAAATTTTACAAGGTTTTAAATATTATAAAAGATTTTTACACTTAACATACTAGTATTTAATTCTAATATGTACTAGCTCCTGAAACTAGTTCCTGCCAACTCTGAACTCCTTGAATGT